GAAAGGCCCGCGCATCTACATTTTCCCGCCTGACCCCATCAGTGCCGACCCAACTCCACCACCACACGCACGCCTCGCGGCGGATGCGCAGCAGCAAGAAGGTTTCGGTCATCCCTTGAGGGTGAGTCTAGCCCTGCTCGCCAGAAAGACCCCCCCCTTCGCTACAACCCATGTCTAAGCAAAAGCTTGTCGAGGAGCGAGGGGAAGAAGGGAGAGTATATAGACCACAATTAATGAACACAGGTAATGTAGGTCGAGATAATGTAGGTCGCGCGGCACCACAATGTACAACCCGACCATTTGGCCGCTATGCAAACAACAGCAATGCCCTGATTAGCACCCATGATCCTACATGACCTTGCTACACCGGGGCGCCAGCCTGCTGCCATGTTTTGCTGTTTCTTGTTGTTGTTTCTCACATTAGCTCCATAGTCTAGACTAGACTAGTCCACAATAATGGGGAGCCCGTGGTCTCCAAACCCGGCACATTGACGCCGCGGGGAAAGAAAACAAAAATAGGGTACAAACCACTCGGAGAAAGAAAACAAAATAATGGAAAGGAAAGAACAGGTACCACACCGACCGTTCGAGAAAAGGCCCTCGGAAACCGATCAAAGTATGCATAGACTAAAACAAAACAAATATAAAGGACGCTTCCCTTCCACACCCGCCTAAAGAAAATATCAACGGATAAAAATAAAAAAAGTACCAGCACCAGTCACTACGCACCAGGGTGTGGGAGTAACGGAGCAAACAGGACAAAGAGGCGGCAGATGGGCAGACAGCCAGATGTAGCACAAAAACAAAAGCAACAGCAAAAGCGAGATGAAGGTACCCATCACAGCAGAGTAGGCAGGGAAGACATGAAAAAAAAGAAACACAGCACAGACGCCGAAGGCAATACACGTATCGTTTGACGTGTGCGCATGTATGTGGGCGCTGAGTTGTGGTCCGCACTTACTTTGATGCGGAGCGACAGCAGATGGACGAATTTAACTTCATCGCGGAGACGAGGATGGTCGGTTGGTTCTCAAACTCACAACCAAAGGTCCTCGGGGGTCCTCTGCTGTGGGTCAATGATGCCAACAATTGCCGGGAGAGCTTGTGGAGAAGCCCCTCATTAGTGTCATGTGCCGTGTGCAATGAAAAAATACCCTGCCTCGACCCTCCTACCCGCTGTGGTTGAAGGTGCGCAAAATACCGATGATCAATCCGTAAAGATGCGGAAAGCGCGCACCACCGACGCCCAACGGTAGCATTGTTGTACCCACCTGCCGGTAGAAGTTGAAGACGTTGTCGCAGTCGTAGTAGCCCTGGACTACGGAGGTGATCTCGTCTACCTTGTCGCCCGTTGCAATCACCGTGGGAGGCATGATACTATGGAGGTTGCGATCTTGGGGCTGCACGACGGTGGATTGTCGGGCGTACGTTGGTGCTCTATGCCGCCAGCTGGCAAACAACGACAGACAGAACGAGGAGCGGAAGCAGCAGGCGGACAGCACCGAGCACGGAACGTTGAGCAATGGCCTTAGCTCAGCCGCACGGCCGGATACCACCCTCGATACTTGATACTTTGACCATGCCCTGCCATTACCGCCGACTACTTGTCTCCTTCCAAGTAGATCGAAAAACGAAAAACATGAGATTATTCCATTTTCACCGCAAGGACAGAAATGTATGTATACTATTCTACAGACATTTTGTCTCATGAGAGCGTTTGTATGTACCCGAGAGGGGAGGGGCGCAGTTTCTGCTGCTCCTCTTGTCTTCTTTGAGGCGAGGCAGTCACTCACAGTTGGGTGTTGCTTGATCTCTTGGTTTTGTGCTTTTTGACCGAGGGGCTGCTTCTGCGCCCACTTCAACAATGGGAGGGTGGGGGTGGGCACGCCCGCCGAACGTTTGATTCATCTTTCCTGACGACGCCAAAATCCGAAAATACAAAATATAATGAAAAAACAAATTGACATGTTGTTGTTGTCGTTGTTGTTGTTGTTGTTGTTGTTGTTGTTGTTGTTGTTGTTGTTGTTGTTGTTGTTGTTGTTGTTGTTGTTGTTGT